CTAATGTTTTTGAAGAAGTCTCACTGAGGCTGCATTTATTTGATCAAAAATACAGTAAAAACTGTAATATTGTGATTTTTTTTTAAACAGTTGTGCTGCTTAATATTTTGGGGAAGCCGTGATGCATTTTATTTCAGGATTCTTTGAGAATAGAAATTTCAAAAGAACAGCTTTTATTTGAATTTTTATTTTTATTTAAAATATTATTAATGTCTTTAGTCACTTTACAGTCAATTTATTGTCCTTACTGAATATAAATATTCATTTGAAAGTATTTCAAATTTAAACAGTAGTGTATATTAGTGTCCACACCAATGTTTATTTTTTTAATGTGAGCTTCAGTTATGTTCTGTGAACAATTGCTCTGTGTGCTTTAAAGTATGAAGGAGTTTGACTGTCAATGTTTTTATCATTCATCAATTGGAAGAATCACTCTGAAAGTGATTGCAACAATATTGTTCCTCTGTTGTGGTGTGGATGCAGCAGTTCTCTTAAAAATAGAGATTTTTAAAAATTAAGCGTTAGCGTTAGTTCTGGCAGGTCATGTGAGTCAAGCTTGCATCAGCTGATTCTCAGCTGATCCATACCGCCAAACCAAACTTTATGCTAAGTATCTATCATTTTGACGATAGTGGTCCTGACAGAACTTTAGTTGTTGTTTTTGGTGTGGCCTTTATTCATAGACTTTGCATTTCTTCCTTGAGTAAAGAACCTGAAACTTTAGTCACTTGGTTTACAGGATGCATTTTGCAGCAGTGCAAGTTACTTCTATTACAGTGAACTTTAAACCACAAGAAACAGCTTGATAGAATTGCCCATGTGGGCCCCTGCAAAATTAAAGCATTTTTCTCTGTGAAAGATGGACTGCATCTGGAAAAGTCTTACCACAGTGCCTTATGTTAACTCACTATAGTTCACACAGTAACCCACAAACAGGCAAAAGAAAGCCAATTAGTGGATTGTTCAAGTCTTGGGTCATTACCTTTATCCATAGTGAGGTTTCAACAGATGGTTCTCAAGAGTAACCCTCAGGGCATTTTAAAAGTAGTTTTAATGCATTAGTTATGCCTTGTAATGCACTGTACAATCTCATGAATAATTGTACATTATAACACTTATCAATTCATTGTTACACTATGCATTTTTAATTCAGTTACAATTATTTACGACAAGATATAATGTATTGCAATGCACATTATGAATACTTCTAATGCCATTATACCCTTTAATAACCCTTTATGGTGCATTATACATAAAGGCTTTAAGTAAAGTGTTACCAAACACTTTAATAATAGACACTCTAATAAAATGAATAAATATTATTATGATAATGGTCAAATATCAGACACAAAAGCAAAGAAAAAGACCTATCCTTTTTACATTACAGGAAATATTAAAGGTTAATATATGCAAAGTTGTAGCCTGCTGGTTAACTAAATCAAATATAAGCCTGATTCGGACGGTAATTGTTTCTCATGGGGATGTAAGCGATATTGAACATTTACAGGGGTTAGTCGTGATTTTATTGCCGTCTGAGTCCAGAATCCTGGTGTTTTTCTCCCTGGCCTAACTTTTCTCATTTTGGCAAACACCAAGGTCGTGTGATAATTTAATTGTCATCCGAATCCACATCTCTGAGTTTCTAAGAACAAATCGATGCGAAATTCAATGTATAAATCCTTTCAACCACTGTATTATATGTGACCCTGGACCACAAAAGCAGTGTTAAGTCGCTGGGGTATATTTGTAGCAATAGCCAAAAATACATTGTATGGGTCAAAATTATTGATTTTTCTTTTATGCCAAAAATCATTAGAATATTAAGTAAAGATCATGTTCCATGAAGATATTTAGTAAATTTCCTACCGTAAATATATCAAAACTGAATTTTTGATTAGTAATATGCATTGCTAAGAACTTAATTTGGACAACTTTAAAGGTGATTTTCTCAATATTTAGATTTTTTTGCACCCTCAGATTCCAGATTTTCAAATAGGTGTATCTCGGCCAAATATGGTCCTATCCTAACAAAC